CATTGGTTTCCATGAATTTTTTAAATTCTTGTTTAATTTCCTGGTTGACCCATTCGTTCTTTAGTAGGATGCTCTTTAGCCTCCATGTATTTGAGTTCTTTCCGACTTTCCTCTTGTGATTGAGTTCTAGTTTCCAAGCATTGTGGTCCAAAAATATGCAGGGAATGATCCCAATCTTTTGGTACCGGTTGGGTCCTGATTTGTGACCCAGGATGTGATCTATTCTGGAGAATGTTCCATGGGCACTAGAGAAGAATGTTGTGTTCTGTTGCTTTGGGATGGAATGTTCTGAATATATCTGTGAAGTCCATCTCGTCCAGTGTGTCCTTTAAAGCCTTTATTTCCTTATTGATCTTTTGCTTAGATGATCTCTCCATTTCAATGAGGGGTTGTTAAAGTCTCCCACTATTATTCTATTGTCGCTGTGTTTCTTTGATTTTGTTATTAATGCTTGTACAGTTGGCTGCTCCCATGTTAGGGGCATAGATATTTACAATTGTTAGATAATCCTGTTGGATAGACCCTTTAAGTATGATGTAGTGTCCTTCCTCATCTCTTATTATAGTCTTTGGTTTAAAATCTAATTTGTCTGATATAAGGATTGCCACCCCAGCTTTCTTTTGATGTCCATTAGCATGATAAATGGTTTTCCACCCCCTCATTTAAATCTGGAGGTGTCTTTGCATCTGAAATGAGTCTCTTGCAGACAGCGTATCGATGGGTCTTGTTCTTTTTATCCAGTCTGATACCCTGTGTCTTTTGATTAGGGCATTTAGTCCATTTACATTCAGAGTAACTATTGAAAGATATGAATTTAGTGCCATTGTATTGCCTGTAAGGTGACTGTTACTCTATATTGTCTGTGTTCCTTTCTGGTCTGTGTTACTTTTAGGCTCTTCCTTTGCTTAGAGGACCCCTTTCAATATTTCTTGTAGGGCTGGTTTGCTGTTTGCAAATTCTTTTAGTTTTTGTTTGTCCTGGAAGCTTTTTCTCTCTCCTTCTATTTTCAATGACAGCCTAGCTGGATATAGTATCTCTCTCGTTTACTGCTCTAAATATATCATGCCAGTCTTTTCTGGCCTGCCAGGTCTCTGTGGATAGATCTGTTGCCAATCTAATGTTTCTACCATTGTAGGTTACGGACCTCTTGTCCTGAGCTGCTTTCAGGATTTTCCCTTTGTCTCTGTGACTTGTCACTTTTACTGGTAGATGTTGGGGTGTTGACCTATTTTTATTGATTTCGAGGGACTTCTCTGTGCCTCCTGGATTTTGATGCCTGTTTCCTTCCCCAAATTAGGTTAGTTGTCTGCTATAATTTGCTCCAATATACCTTCTGCCCCTCTCTCTCCTTCCTGTGGGATCCCAATTATTCTAATGTTGTTTCACTTTATGGTGTCACTTATCTCTCGAATTCTGCCCTTGTGATCCAGTAGTTGTTTATCTCTTTTTCTCAGCTTCTTTATTTTCCATCATTTGGTCTTCTATATCTCTAATTCTCTTTTCTGCCTCATTTATCCTAGCAGTTAGAGCCTCCATCTTTGATTGCACCTCATTAATAGCCTTTTTGATTTCGACGTGGTTAGATTTTAGTTTTTATTTCTCCAGAAAGGGTTTCTCTGATAACTTCCATGCTTTTTTCAAGCCCAGCTAGTATCTTTATAATCGTCATTCTGAACTCTAGTTCCGACATCTTACTAATGTCTGTATTGATTAGGTCCCTGGCAGTTGGTACTGCCTCTTGTTCTTTTTGTTGAGGTGATTTTTTCCATCTTGTCATTTTGTCCAGAGGAGAATAGATGAATGAGAGAACAAAATGCTAACAGGGTAACAACGACCCCAGAAAAACACTAAACAAATCAGAAGAAACCCGAAACTGGAGGAAAAGAAAGGGAAATAAAAATAATAATAATAATATGATCAGGCTGGTGAATAGAACAGAGCCAAACTCTAGATTTTGGATGTATTTTGGTCTGTTAGAAGAAATTGCCTCCCAGAATTTTAAAGAATGAACAACGTATATATATATATACAAAAAATAAGGCTAAATACAATGAAGGGATAAAATATGAGTGTAAACATGAAAATTAAAAAAGATTTTTAAAAAGGAATTGATAAGACGTTGGTTGAAAAAGGGAAGAAAAAAATTCAACTAAAAAACATAGACAAATAAAAAATAAAGAAAATTTAAAGAATTAACATTGAAAGACTAAAGAATCATGGGGGAAAAGCCATGAATTCTATGTGAAGTATTCCCCTAGTGCTGGAGTTCCGCCGTTCTCCTTGATCGGTAAACTTGGTCTTGGCTGGCTGTTCTTGCTGATCTTCTGGGGGAGGGTCCTTTTGCCATGGTTCCCAAATGTCTTTGCCAGAGACGGAATTGCCCCGCCCTTTCTGGGTCCTGGCTAAGTAATCGGCTCAGGTTTGCTCTCTGGAGCTTTTGTTCCCTGCAGCTTTGGAGGACGAGAGTGAAAATGGCAGCCTCCCGGTCTCTGCCCTGGAGGAGCCGAGAACTCAGGGTCCCGGTCCTCTGTGCGCCCCCAGAGAAAAGCAGTCACTCCCATCTCCCTGGTCTCTGGCTGCACTCCATGCCCACCCGGCCTGTGACCAAGCGTTTGTTTCTGTCTCTGGCACCCCACCCCGTGTGGAGTCTCCAAACCCAGTAGATCCCCGTGGTGTGCTCCCCCGCTGCTCCTCCCGGGGGAGGAAGGGGAGTCTCCCCTGATCTGCCGCTTGTTGGGTCCCTGCTGGAGGAGCAGTGGCCCGACTGTGCTGCAGATCACGGTTTATGGCAACCCCGAGCTGAGAGCCCACTCCTCGGCTCCATCTCTGCAGCCGGCTTCTCCGCTCTGATACCTGGGAGCTCTGCTGCACTCAGGCACCCCCGGTCTTTCTGTGACCCCGAGGGTCCTGAGACCACACTGTCCCGTGAGGGTTCCGCCACCCACTTAGCCACTGGAGCGACGTCCCTCAGTGGAGCCGACTTCTAAAAGTTCCGATTTTGTGCTCCGCGGCTTTATCACTTGCCAGAAGCGACCAACGGAGGCCCCCTCCCCCGCCGTCTATCCTCCCGAATATCGCCTCGGATTCACTTCTCCGCACGTCCTACCTTCCAGAAAGTGGTCGCTTTTCTATTCAGAGAGTTGTTGCTATTCTTTTCTTCGATCTCCTGTTGAGTTTGTGGGTGTTCAGAATGGGTTGATCCCTATCCAGCTGAATTCCTGGGACCAGAGGAAATTGTCTCCTACTCCTCCGCCATCTTGCTCCTCCCCCTCTTTATCATATAGTCTTGATCCTACTTTACCATATGAGAGTGACTCTATATTGTAGTATCTAAACTAATTATATAATAACATATCTAATAGCTCTAATGCTACAGAAATGCAAAATTTGTGCATTATTTGGCCTGGAGGATTTTCTTCTACATTTACTTTTTATTTTAGTAAATATACTTTAAAATAAAATAAAAATCTGCAGTTGTAATCCTTGACATGAATGATTTGGCAAACATTTGGGTGTTATGCCTGTTTACTGATTGGTATATACCTTTGCAATAATCTTATGACCATTTGTACTTTTTAAACTTCTTCCTGAAAGTACCATTTGTTGATGAAATTTGGAAATTTATTTTTATTTGACTTAGTTTTTTTTTCCCCTCCCAGCATACAGCATGCCTCTGCAATGCCATCATTTCCTTGCTGAAAGTGCCTCTTTCGTTTCAGAGATATTTTTTCCAGAAACTGCAGTCTACCAGCATCAAGGTAATACTCTACCAAAATATGAAGGTTAATACAGATTAAAAACCCAGTTATCTTCTGGAATACATGGGATATAGCTCTGCTTCGGGGTCTTACCTGTGGTTTTGATAAAACTTACACCCTTTAGTTGTAAGTTTTTTCTTCCTTTATCAAGTGGTTTGGTAAAGGTAATGGGATTTGGGAGTTAAGCCCTTTCCCTTCTTACCTGTCAGTGCCAGGTGCTGTGTGACAGGCACTTGGGTACCTGGAGCTCTGTCTCTTGTCTCCAAGAATAATTTGAGAGGTTTTCATCGTAAGTCCTCTACAAGGATCTTGAGCTGAGTTCGCATCTGATTGGGCTTTTCAGACCCCATTTAGAGTAAATCAGGTCTGGTAAGACATTACCAGTCCTACCTCCAGAGCGCTTTTGTCTGTGAATGTCAAGTTTTGAGGAGTTGGCCAGTGAGAAGAGCTAATATTTTAAAATATTTGAGCTCTCCAAATTCAAAAGCTATTTTTGATTCAAAGAATAAAATTGTTGGAAAAGGTGGAAAACTCAACTCCAAGAGATTTCCTAGATTATCCCTCTGTAGGTAAATGTCTTCAGTCCACTTTTGCATATCCATTTGAATGCTTTTGATTGTAAATAACAGAGCATTCCATTTCAAAATGACCTGAATCACGAGAAAAATTATCTCAGATAAGATATCTTAAGGTAGGATGTGTGCAGGGTTGACTGATGCAATGCTTAGCATCATCAAAAAGACCCACGTCTTCCATCTTTTCACTTAGCAGAATTTGGGCTTTCTGTAATTTAAGGGTATTTGGGATTTTTAATATGTTCTTAAATAAAAACTCTAATGAGAGGTTAAAAATGTTATTTGGTTCATTTGTGGAAATTGACTTTTATACCACTGTGACTTGATCATATATGTAATTCTAGAATTTTAAGTTCACTTGTCCTTGAATTTAGTCTATTTAAAATTACATAAGACCAAAGAGACAGCAGCTGGACATGAAAATTTACATGGTGCATTTCCCTGCTGGAATTGGTTCATTGTCAAAGAAATGCCCCCCTACACAAATAAGGAAGACTAGGGCCTTCACTGTTTTCTGATCTTCAGTTACTCTCACACAGAACTGGGATTTGGTCTTTAAAAGAGGCGTTAGGGAGAAGGACCCCTTGACTTTAAAGGTGCATTTGTCTGGGTTTCCCAGCAGTCAGGTCATTAGCTGTGTAATGTTGTAACCTATAGACAACAATTAGCACAAACATGTTTGTTGGATGAAAGCTTGTTCTTGCTTGTGAGCATTTGTCTTAATGTTGGTATTCCAGCTTGCTCTGTCGCCATCGCCCCGGAACCCTGCCGAGCCCATCGCTGTTCAGAATAACCAGCAGCTGGCGCTCAAAGTAGAGGGAGTGGTTCAACATGGATCTAAGCCAGGACTCTTTCGCAAAATTCAGTCCGTCTGTCTGAATGTTTCTTCCACGCTACAGAGTAAATCCGGACAAGACTACAAGGTAATTTAAAAAAGAGGCAGAGTTGTGATACGGATTTTGTCAGCTTATTCATGGAAGTTTTCCAGTGATTTTCATGGGTAAGCAGATTGCAGTTACACCTCCCAAGGGAAGAGATACGGACATAAGTTAAAAGCACCTATTGGAGTTTGAGGGGGCTGATAAATAATAACCTCTCTTTCTCTGCCTGAACCAGTTGATAGAGAAAGCATCCAGGCAGACAGAGATCAAAATATGAGCCTCACTGTTTAGCGTTGGGGAAACCTAGCTCAGGTGCCTGCCAACAAGGACTTCCTAGCCTTGTACCTCCGAATTGAATTTTCCCACCCAGCCTCAGCCTGTGCACACAAGAGCCTGCCCCTATAAAATCGATGGCAGGAAGGAGCATCCTGATGTCCAGAGAAGGGAAAGAGAAGGTCTTAGCTCCCTGTGCTCAGTTCTTACCCAAAAACTTAGCAGTCAGTAGAATTCACCTCCTCCGCTGGAGATCAGTGTTGTTCATCTCATGAAAAGTCCCTCTACCTGGAGGGAAACATCAACCTCCCTATCCCTCTTACCCCCCAAAAGCACACATCTAATTATTTTTCTGTATTTTAAGTAGATATTAGCATTTTCTAAAGAAAAAAGGGTAGACAACATTGACAGACAATGGTCAGATAAAGTAAAATCTTCCCTTACGGGTGTAACCCTAGGAATTTCCTGCTTTGAGAAATTATGAGGTAGGTAACCAAAAATCGTGCTTTCTTTGTTAGCCAGGGCCAAGGTGCTAAATACCATGGAATACCAATATTCCAAATGCAGAACGTTCCTTTCTTGAGACATCTCTTTCCAGTTCCTTGGTGGCTTATTCACAGAAAATAGAACAAGGGAACAAGTACACAGCCGTGTAAATGCCCAAAATTGGTTATGTCCAGGTTTATTGTGGGCATACTTGAACTGAGCTCCATAGTAAGGAAAGGAATTAATATTCTGTAAAGATATAAAAAGAGAACATTTTATTCTCTTTGGTGGTTTTTAGGGAGAAGGTGTGGTTTAAGCCATTTTTATTTCTTTTCTTTGGTAACTTTCTATCCCTTCTTTTCCCACCCTGATAAGGCTCAGGCTTCATTCTCTTGCTCTCTTTGACTCCTACAACACAGACTGTGGTGCCTTATGTAGCCCTATGTAGCAAATATTTGATGAATGATGACAAAACCATTTACTGTATTTAGAGTACAACTGTTATGTTTGGACAACCCTTAGGTCGTAGTGAGAATTTACATGGTTAACCTACCCCTGTCTGCAGCTGTGTCCCCGTTTAGAGTTTGAAAGAATAGTAATTCTCTTTGTTCCTTGTATATAATGATTTCTACTGTTAAGAAAAAAAATATTCAAACCAGGCTTCTGCTTATTAACTTACCTCTCGAGGCATTGCTTAAAGTCAGGAAGCTGATATAATAAGTCATGTAGTATAAGATTTGTAATGTTACTTGCGGTGAGTTTTCAACTTGAAATGCATCATCCGTTCAGAGTGATCAGGTTGCTTAGGCCTATCTCTGGTCCTTTTAAGGAAGTTCATGTTTGGTAGGCATATTCTTTAGGGACATAAAAACCCTACAGAAGTTGTGCAAACAAACAGAACAGGGCCTATAAATAATCCTAAGATCTCGAATTGGTCAGTGACTTCGTTTCATTGACATTACAGGTAAATGTCTCTGGAAAACTGACGTCAAGATATGCTCATTTAGTCACAGAGTTTCAGGGCATATTTATGTCATTTTGATTAGGCAACAGAAACACACACATAAACCTAGAGCAATCTGGCCAAATAGTCGTTAAGTTTACCTTTATATGTGTTCCAGAATAAGTGTCTCTCTTGGCATACTTCATCTTGGGTACAGGTAAGGGTGTACCAGAGGTGTTACTCTGTTTTTCAAAGGACAAAGACATGGGTATCTAGCTAAATAAGTGAACAAGCCCATAAAACCTGTGTTTTATAATATGTTGTGCTGCCAGTCTGAACAAGATACTGAGTATTAAGTAAACACTGTACAAGTTCTAAAGTTAATTTGTTAAAGGAGGGAGGAACAATTGCATTACTGAAGCAATATAAAACCAGACTAGTTAGGAGGAAGAACCCTAACTTGTATTTACTTAGTGTTAGGTTCTTTTTCAGTCTCTTAGATTTTAAACTTCCTGCAACAGGTGATTGTTCCCTGTTTCTTCAGAATATCTCCTCAGAGAGTAAAGAAAAGTAAAGAAAGATGGGAATTGGAGTTGGGGTTGGGTAAGCAAGTGTAGTAGAAGAAAATTTTCTCTTCCATTGTCTTAGGATCTCCTGCTGGGCCTAAGATTAAACTGATACTGAGGCAGATTAACATGAGAAAGGCATACAGGTTTGTTAGAATTGTACCTATACATGGGAGTCTTCACAAGACAATGGAAACCCAAAGAAGTGACCAGAGCAGAAAGCTTACATAACTTTTAGACAAAGAAATGGTAAATTTGTGAAGACAGAAGACAAGGGCGAGGGGCAGTAAACTGGGGCAGTGATTGGGAGAGAGGGGGTGGGGGGGCACCTGTGGGAGATAGGGGTTATTCTAGTTTATTTGTGGAGGTACATTTCAGCATTGACTTCCAGTCTCTAGTGATAAGGATGTTCTCCTCTTCTCGGTATAGAGAAGGGCACTTTTCTCATGGGAGATTTTATGGCCTGTTTTAGGTAAAAATGAGGAGGTCAGAGAGCCCTTCCTCCATCTGCTGTTTCTCAGGTGCCTTTAGCTCAAAATAATGTGCCAAAGCAGCATATTTTGAGGTGGCACGTCCTGAGCTCCTTCACAAGACAGAAAGGCCAACATAGGAAGGGGTTGAGAAAGGCTCCGGGAGCTCGTTCTACTCAAGGATAGTGAGGAGGCAGGATCGCTTAATGGTGAAGAGTGTAGGCTCTGGAGTTAGCCTGCCTAGTTTGCCTAGCCTGCCACTCCTTAGCTATGTGACCTTGGAGAAATTACTTAACCTCGCTGCCTCAGTTTCCTCATCTAGAAGTCAAGGGTAAAAATGGTACCTAAACCTCTGGGTTGTTTGTGGGGATTAAGTAAGCACTTCATATGGGGCCTAGCTCCCAGTAAGCACTCAGTAAATGTTAGCTATTATTGTTATTTAACAATTTTTTCATTCCAGATACCCATTGACAATATGACCAATGAGATGGAGCAGAGGGTGGAACCTCATAATGATTACTTCAGTACTCAATTTCTGTTGAACTTTGCTATCCTTGGAACACACAACATTACAGTAGAATCTTCAGTGAAAGATGCCAATGGTATTGTATGGAAGACAGGTCCTAGAACTACCATATTTGTAAAATCCCTGGAAGACCCTTATTCCCAGCAAATTCGCCTACAACAACAGCAAGCCCAGCAACCATTACAACAGCAGCAACAACGAAATGCCTACTCACGGTTTTAGTCACATGAGGAATGCACTCCTGGCTTTATAGGAATTGATCAAATGGGCAAAAATAATTTGATTTTTCATATGGATTCAGATATGAAAGTTAGAATGTGGAGTCCATTTATTCATTGGTTTCTATAATGTAATACTCTGGGGGGAAAAAAGGGTTTGTTTTTCTTTAGAAATTTAATTTGAGAAATAACTAGGTTCCTAGCCAGCAAGATTTTTTGTCCTTGTTCCTTCTTAAACCAAGTCCTTTATCATCTGCTTGACATTTTCATTGTTCTATTATTGTTTTTATGTTGCTGAGCCTTTCCTTTCGCTTTCAAGAAAAGTCATGTATTGGGATCACGGCATTTATAGATTTGACTCCCTGTCCACCAGAATACATCACTCGCTACCTGGCACAGACCTCTCATTCTGAGCCAGGCATTGGGAAATTCTGACCGGTTAGTACAAAGTTGACCTGTGGTAGCAGAAACCAAGTCCTTCCCTGGATTGACTTCAGTGTGTCCCCTGAAATCCAGTTTTCTGGATTTTGAGAGCATACAGTCTAGCTGAATTGAAACATCCTGCTATATTATTTCAACTACTTCACCTATCTTTTCTATGCTAACACAGTCTTAATTTATTGTTTTAGTATTTAATTGACCTAAAAAAACAGCTAACAATTACATACAAAAATTGGAGATTAATCATTTGTGTTTTCTAGTATGTGTATGGTTTTGTTTATAGTATAGACTTTTTACATTATTTCTAAGAGTGAAAAAACTCACTCACATGTACCATCTTAATTTTTTAAATTAGGAAGGCAGATCTTTTGATTGGTTTGGTTTCTTCTTGGCAGGTTATGTAATACCAGACTTGATTGTCTAGAAAGAACAGCCTCTTTATAACACAACCTCAATTATTTGGGATGCTCAGGGAATAGAAGTTTTCTGGTTAGCCAGAAAACCCCTTTTTTTCTATTTCAATACTGGTTGAAAACTGTTATAATAATAAACTTTCTTGTCTTAACACGGTATACTAGTTGTAATTTACCTGTTCATTCTTCATTTGGGATCATTCAGTGCTCGGGATCATGGTTTTCTAAACACCAGGGATCCTAGGGTTGCAGATGTTGTTGATGATTTGGACAGTTGGGCTGTAAGCAGCTCCTAAGATGAAGCAGGGCACATTCCCTGGAGGCTTCCTTTTTTAAATAAATCTCTCATTTTCTTTGCTTGTGTTTTGCCTTTTTTTTTCTTTAAAGACAACATTAGCTCAAAGGGGAAAAAAAAATGAGTTGGTTTTTCTTTTTTCCTTGTCATGTCGCCTCCAGTGGTGAGAAGTGATTGGCAACTCAGATTCCTCTGAGATTGCATAGCTCCATGAGCTATTGTCCCAGCAAAGCACCCTCTGCTGCCATTGGCCAGAACATTGTCATAAAATATGTAAGTCCCCAGTGTCCACTGAGGATGCCATCCCTTTAAATGCGGCCTGGTTGTGGACTGTGCACGATGTGGACAGCTGTGACAGCACCTGGGAACACAGGCCCGAGGAAGAATTGCCAAAGCGGTGCAGAAGAGGTATGCAGGACCCCTTTCCTTCTCATCAGGCGTGGAAAAAACTGGACCAGAAAGCACAGGTTGCACTTTTGTTTCTGATGAATTAGCTCTGTGACCCGGGGCAAGTTACTTTATCTCTCTAGAGTAGTTTCTTTGTAAAATGACTGAATTAGATTAGATCTCTCAACTTCAATCTAGAGTTTTATCAGGTGACTAAAAGACTAAAAGACCAAAAAAAGAGCTCTTTTATGGGGGAAACAAAAAAATTTTTTTAATTCATTGTCTATTTTCAGAATGAAATTTTATAATGTCAATTTCAGGTTTCTGCTACTATTTCAAGGCAGAATTCTCAAGAAAAGAAGCAAATCTTGTAAGCCACAAATTCCCCCCAGTTCCCTTTGAGACCTTCCCAGATTGTATGTTCTTAAAAGGCTTTTTTGATAGCTACAGTTACAAACTCTTTGATTTGGTGTACTGGACGGCTCCTGGCACAAACTTGGAAAGGAATTATTAATAAAAACAAATCCAAATAGTTCAGACTAGGAAAATAACTCTATGAAGCAAAAAAGGCTATTTTAATTGAGTATGTCCATTAGATCCAGGATTGGAACTCTGATTTTACGTTTGGTATAATGTCTACTGCATTCTTGGCATCAACTGCTAAGCAATTATTTGAGGTAAGGGGAAATTGCATTTATAATTTCAACACTACAGTAATAAATGAAAAGAAAAATACTCAGGGAAAGATGAAAGCAGGAAAGATACACATGCTGATTGTGAAGTGAGCATGTCCCCTGAACTTAGAAATATGGTTAGTAAAGGGTGCTGGCTGATTGATTCTAGGAAGACAGCTAATTTTTCTCTGTTTAGCCACTTTGCAATATAACCTGGTGGCTCAGAGCACAGTGTCTGGAGCCACACTGTCTGGGTCCCAGTCCTAACTCTAATTTTATGACCTTGGGCAAGCGATTTGATATCTCTATGCCTCAGTTTTCTTATTCCTAAAATCAGGAAATATAATCGTGCTTCATGGGAGAGGTGTGAGGATTAAGTGAGTTAATACAGAATTAATATATGTAAAGCATTTAGCATGCTCCTTGCACATAGTAAGCAGATACATGAGTTTGCTAGCATTGTTACTATTATATCCTCCCTAATACTATTTTTCACAGTGTTAGATCAATTCTTAATCTTAGCATTTTATTTATTCACAATAAAAGTTACTGCTATTTTGCTACTAAACACACATTTAAGCTATCTTCCCCTCATTTTCAATTTGGGTATATCGAATAATAACAAAATAACAATGTTGACCCAAACAAAAGGGAATTTCTGTCTACAACCAGTATTATAAATCCTATTAAAATATTTAAAGACATATGTACAAAGAAAATTATGAAAGTACTTTCTAAAGCTGCTGATTGTCTTCAATAGTGACAGTAATAGTATATTGACTATTTAGAAATTAAAGTACTGTTATATTCCAGCTTAGCCTAAGAGATCTTGTAATACGACCTTTGTAGCTCAAACTAACCAAGGTGGCAGATAATGTGCGTCACTTTTCACATTAAGGTATGGTTCCCAGAAGAACAAACCAACCAAACCAAGATCCTCAGACTAGGGTCCCAGGGATGTCAGTTTAAGTTCTATTTATAAGACTCACTTGCCATGGACCCTTAGATCGGTCCCTTGGTCCTTCTGTGCCAATACCTGCCAGCATTGAGAATAAGAGGATCCTGCCACTTGTTATGTAGCATATATGCAGCATTCGTCCAATAGAATTTTCTGTGGTGATGGAAATGTCCTAAGTCTGGCTATCCAAAATAGCCACTAGCCCTATGTAGCTATTGAGTGTCTAAAATATGGCTAATGTGACTGAATCTTTTATTTACTTGTAGTTCGGTTAAATTTAAATAGCCTCGCGTGCCTACCGCTTGCAGAATTGGGACAGTGCAAGAGTGAAAAGAAATGAGATTCACTATTCCCTTAGGACCTAGGTAATTCTTAAATAGATTTTAGGTAAGAGGTCTATATTGGAATTCTTTGGCTAACCAAAGTGTTCACATGGAAGGTTGTAGATGACAAGGAAGGCATTTGGGGTTTGTGGGTTTGCTTTGCTTCTAGTAGCACTGTGTTGCTCAACCAAACAGCTGGCCCTGTTCTTTCTATAATTTGCTCTTGGATTTAGCCTTTGTCAGTCACCAGCATTAAAAGGACAAGGTCCACAAGTCTGGTGAATGGGTTTAGATCTCCCAATAGCCGGAGGTTACAGTCTTTCTTTCCATTGGCTTGCCCAAGAACACAAAGACCTGTAACACCACGGGCTGAGTATTTTATTGGCTTGACTGGAGCGAGGCCATTATTATTCTGTATTATCTCCCAGTCTAAAGTATTCATTCTATGAGTAGTTTAATTTGTAATTGCAACTGGGATTTAAACAGAGTGAGTCATAGTTTTCTCCTTAACTAGTAAACCAAGACCCGGAGCCATTGATACCCACTTTCTAATGAAGAATGCTAAGTGTTGTAAATTTGCTTTTTTCAAATCTCCCACAGGTACAAAGCATTTTTCAGTCTTTATCTTTTCCCTTATCTTCCTTCTTACTTGCTAATCTCTCCTGAAGCAATTCTGTCCTGCGCAGTCAAGTTTGTTGTGCAATAATTGTCCTCTGTTTAGATCTGGTTAAAGATTGAAACCTTGTGAAATGAGTTTGGGGATTATCTTCCTCTCAGATCATGTCTACAAGGTCTAGCTTTTGTCTTGTGATACTTAGCTGACAAACTGACATTAAAAATATTTTTATTGTGGGCGCCTGGGTGGCTCAGTTGGTTAAGCGACTGCCTTCGGCTCAGGTCATGATCCTGGAGTCCAGAGCCTCCCACATCGGGCTCCCTGCTCAGCAGGGAGTCTGCTTCTCCCTCTGACCCTCTTCCCTCTCGTGCTCTCCCTCATTCTCTCTCTCTCAAATAAATAAATAAAAATTAAAAAAATATTTTTATTGTTTACAGAGAATTATTTTTAGCAAATTATAAAGGTGAAATAATACGCATTCATTTGGTATTAGGAAATGAATCAATCAGCAAAGTGAACATCTCCTCTACCCTCACAAGACAGGATGAGTTAAAGAAAATCAGATTGTTTTACAGAGAAAAAGTGTTCTCTACTTTACCTTTTGGTTTTCTTGGGAGATTTCATTTGTGGATTTTGATGAAACTTATTTGTGGCTATGAAGCAAAAATATTTCAGATAGAAAAGACAACATAGAGCTAAATTAGACTGAAGAATTATGAGAAGATATCAATGTCGAGTTGTGTTTCCAAGGCCGTGGAAGGTGAGAATAGGCCGTGCTGCCTCGAGTTGCACCCCATCTCCCTCCCCGCCAATGGAGGCAGTGAAGATAATGATGCTTTTTGCCTATGTGTCATCTCACTCTGAGATGAGCAAAGTGATGACAAATTGTTAACACTTGTGGCCCCCATCTTGCTTTCCCTTCCCCACCCCCACGCACCAGGCAAAGGCAGATACCATGTGATTAGGAGGGTCAGTTCTGAAGCCCACCACCACACACACACACACACACACACACACACACAGGACAAGAGTAGATGAAAAGCCTATTGTGGAAACGCAAGTGGGGGAGAAGGGCTTCCCAGCTCTGAGCCCCACACTGCACCAGGCTCTGAGCTGGGGGTGGGAAATGCAAAAGGAATCTGACAGGGAGAGCCTCAGGCAACTTACAGTCTATTGACAGAAAAAGAAAAAAAAACTTGTATTTTTACAGAATGTGGAGAGAGCTTTATAAAAGCCATTGACAGAGCCCAAAAGTTGCCATTTCTGAAATTCTAATAGCGTCTCCCCTTGTATGTAACAGGCCAGGCTCTTAGGTAATTAGAAAATTGCCATCATTTGGCATTTTTTCCTTTCGCAGCTCTTGGAAGTGCAAGTGTTCCTTCCTTCTCAGAGAGCCTCTTGACATAATCAGGGACAATTGGGTACCTATTCCTTGGAAGCCAGAGAAGAACATAAGAGCATTTGGAAAAAAGATACACCCCTAAAGTGTGACGTCAACATTTGGCCTTGAGGAGACAGGAGCTTACACTCCAAAAGAACCAAATATTGTCTCATGTTGCAGAAACTACTGCTGATTCTAGCCAGGCCGTTGGACGACACAAACCTCCAATGTCACATTTCAAGGTATCAGGGCCTTGGGGAGAAATGACTGTAATCACAGAATCACTTAAGCAACATCAGATCTATCCTACTTAGTGGTTACAGTGTCCCCTGGGATGCTCAAAAGCGTATTAGCCCTGGCGAGAATTGTCTCTCAGGGAGTGAGCTCATCAGGAATCTCTCCTTGAGGGCCCTTGACACGGGAGAGGGCCCATGAGTTGGTCCTAAGCACTACCTCTCCCTCCTTCCTCACCCAAGTGGCTGACCAGAAGTAGCTGATGGAAAGCACTTTTCCTTCATCCGGAGCACTAGAGGTACCTCAGCTGACATCACAGGGCTCTGTGGCTCAGCAACATTCGTCTAAGCTGAAGTTTGTGAATTTGGACAGATTCCCCAGACTTATGCCAAAGGCACAACCAACAAGAACACAATTTTAAAACAGGTGACCCTTTTTATTCATTCACCAAATGTTTATTGAACACGTATAGGGTACCAGGAGCTGGGATTGCAGTGATAGACAAGCTCCTTGGGTTTATAGCCATGCCATTTGTTTGTGCACAGACCATGGGAGGGAAGGCCATGGGGAACCCACCATGCTCTTGATTATGCTGGTGGGCCTGAGCTTCCTAGGTAGTTGATCATTTGCTCCAGTGAAAGGGGAGAAGAATGGGTTTGGACAGGACTGTCTGGGCTAGAGTCACTGCTGTTTCCAGTGTGGCCCTTCAGGAAAGCACTCAGGCTGAGTTCTTCCTTATATCCAACCCCTCACAGCAGTCAACCTCCTGCTTCAATTCCCCATGTTTGAGGGAAATGGAAAACTCCCCAAAACCATGGTCATAGGGAATTAGCTCTAATCACAACACAGTCTCCCCTGACCCCAGCTGTGCCACACTGAATAGCCCTTCTGTCCCTCCAGACCGGGCAGAAGCATCCTCCCTGACTCCTCCAAGCAGACGTGACAGTTGGTATCCCTCTGTGACCAGTAGCAAATTTGGTCTTGTGTGCAGTGGTCCGCTACCTGCTGTGTTGGCACAGATATGGACAAATGGTGGTGAAAGTTGCCATATGCTGTTCCTGGAAGAGACCACTCCCTCCACTGTCCCATGCCCCACACCAACCCCCTGCCTATTCTGAGTCAATGTTTCCTAACATCTCTGAGCCTTGGCTGATGCTTCTGTGAAATGGGGCTAATGACTGCCCTATTGAAGAGCTGTGTGCATTCAATGCAAGGACCCACCAAGTGCCTCTGTGGGGGAGTGGGTGGCGTGGGCTGGTGGCCCAGGGGATGGTGGGAAAAGAAACCCCAGCCTCATGAAAAAGTGATGTTTCAGATCATCTCTACCTTAAAGGAAGATGATGTCCCAGGGCGTTTGAGGACCCTAAAGGTACTAAAATGTCTTAGACTCACAAGAAATGTATTATTCTCTCTTGGGAGGAGGGCATTTACATTTACCAGCATCCCTGTCAGCACAGTCTTTGAGCCCCCCGGGGTGGGGGGTGGACAAAAAGAGAAGTGTCATGAGCGCAGTGAGCCAACCCAGGCTTCTCTGTCATTCTTTCTGAGTTATTTAGCAGCTGCACAATAAGTGGGCTTATAGCCAAACTCCTTTCTTGCCATCAGATCTATTGTATAAGCCCCATGACTCAATGGACACTTGCTACCTGACTGAACATAACTATTTTCCTATTGAGGAGACTTCGCCATTTTCCCCAAATGCAGAACATGAGGCAAGGGGACTTGAAATTGAGAAGTTTAAGTTGGGGAGAAGGAAGAACTTAGTGACCTGTGAAAATAATTAAGGAAGAGGCATTAGGACTGTGTGAGCTCTGCTGTCCAACCACAGGGATGCATTTGCCAACAGCCTCTCTGGAGGCAGAGGGGTGGACTTGTTTGACCTCTTGGCCCCATTCCATCAGCAGGCGCTCCTGCGGGCGGCAGGCTCCCCAGCGGAGGGCTCTGCCTGGGAGAGGGGGTGCGGCCCTTCTCCCCCACCAAACCCACGCCCTCCAGACAGCGCTCAGGCAGTGCGGCTGCAGATAGAAGTAACCCCTGCCTGCCTCTTTCTGGCCTTCGAGCAAATGCCTCTGGCCATATCCCAGAATGACGTCAGGGGAACAAAGAAGCGGGGGCAGGGGTGCAGGGGTCGGGCTTGACGGCTGAGAAGAGAGGGCTGGTGAAGACGTTATGTTTCCTCTCACCTCCTAAGTGTGTCTGAGATATGTGTCTAGGCAGGGAGAGGAGCTGTCCTACTTTTGAGGGAGGGGGACTGTCCTTCACAGTTCCCTCCTTCTCTTCCCACTACCCTCATTCTCGTTCACAGCCTTATTATGTCTTCCTGGGTATCACCTTCACTTTCTGTTTTCCTTGTTGCCCGTTTCTGTGTCCTCTTGAGTAATCCTTACTTCCCATTGCTTCCCAATTCACTCTCGTCTGGTCCAAAACTTTTATTCCCGCTGGGTTCCCGAAACAGCCTGAATTCTTCAGGGTATCACCGAAGACCCTCCACAGGGAGACGCCAGCCTAGCAGCACCGCAGGCCTCACCTCTCGCCATACTAACACGTATATCTCAGTCTGTGGGAAAAGCTAGCGTCCTGGACATCCCCGGAGCTCAGTCTGCACATTCTCACCGTCATGGCTTTGTTCGTATTTTCCCCCTGCTTGAATCCTCTCTCCATCACTGAAACGTCTGCCCATCCCTCCACGTTCAGATTCTCCAGCCAGAAGCAGGAGTCAGGGTTCCTGCCTGGCCTGTATCGTATTCAATCTGGTGTGAAGCGATCAGGCTGCCTGGCCCTTGGGGTCAGCATAAAGGTGGACACATGGTGGCTAATGTGGCCCTGTCCTGCGGATGAGATCCAATGACTCCCTCCACCGCCCCACCCCCCATCGGCCTCTGGCTCTTCTCAGGCCTCCGGTGCTGGTTCACGTCCCTGCATGGAGCAGGCCTGTCTGACCTGCCTGCTAACCCCATGTTCACCTTGGAGACAAGAGGTGTAGAGCAAGCTTTCTACTATTTCTGAGCTCTGAGCAGTGTAATGGCGGGAGCACAGCCTACTGGTATGGCGGACCCAGTGGAGGCCCGGAGTACAGCTCAGGCTCTAATCTGAGGCCTGAGGCAAGAGGGAGTGGACCAGTACCTAGAGCTCGCAAGGAAAAAAAAAAAATTTTTTTTTGAGAGAGTTCAAGCCAGTGGCTGGACTGGATGGGGGAATGGGGGGAGCAGCAGGGAGGGGCAGAGGGAGAGAATCCCAAGCAGTCGCCTTGCCCCCAGCATGGATCCCGACACGGGGCTTCATCCCCCAACCCTGAGATCATGACCTGAGCCAAAATCAAGAGTCAGACATTTAACCAACTGAGCCACCCAGGTGCCCTGAAAAAAATTTTCAGATCACTTATCCGACTCTTTCCTTGGAGTCCTATTCACTGTCCTCCAACACCAGCTGGAATTGGTCAGAATTTAGAATGCATTGTTTAGAAAGTTTTGGGTTCCCCTGTTTCCGGCCAGGTACTTCCCTGTCCATCCCTCCTTCCTCCTTCCCTTTCTCTCTCCCTGCCTTTTCCATGGACTGATTGAGTGCTTGTTACAGTCAGGGCCCTGCAGCAGGTAGGGTCCGTGCTCCCAGGAAGCTTTGGTGACTGGTCATCATATGTGTCAGGGTGATAAGTGTTTGTCCATAGTGCCGACGGCTAGCTGAGGGGCCGACACGGCACGGAGGGAAGACTGAGCCGCATACTGCATTATTTTTCTCATTGACTGTGGAAGTATCTAAAGTGCTGTCGGGAAGACCCTGTGGGAGGTGAAGGGGGCAATGGAAGGGACCCAGGAAGAAAAGGCCGGGAGAGGAAGCCAGGGGTGGCCTTTGGTTTCCTACCACTCCAACCCAGCCTGACTCTAGGACCGCTGCACATCAGACTCATACAGTTCAAATCAGATGCTTTCACTCCTTCCTGTATGGGTCGTCTATTAGATTGCTGGGCAGCTCATGTTTCCCCCTCACATCTCCATGTGCTTTCTCAGCATCTACTCCACACACTTTAGACAACAGGACCTTGCTCTGGGTGGCTGGACCTGAACACGTAACATCCGGAGCCATCCAAGGCCATGTTTTTTGCTATATAAAAGAAGACGGCCCAGCTGAGCTCCTGTCCAAGGTGCCCTGAGCTGCCCTTGTGTCCTTATAATGCAGCGAAATGTTTATCGCTGTGCTTTTCTTTTGGGCACTCCCCAACACATGATCTTTCCCTAGTCCACAATGCCTTGAGGAGTGGAGGTGTTACAGCAATAATGCAAAGACAAGAACCCCCCCACATTCAGTCTTTTTAACATCCAAAGGAAGCTATCAAGACTAAAAAGAGATGGAGTTTGGGCTATAAAAATAGAAGAGAGAAAGAATAATAGGAGAACCTTGGCCACTTTAGACATGTTGATATTCTCATCGTCCCCTGAACCCCAGTGCATTTCACACACCCAGGCTCTGTACACACTTGGCCTCCAGCATGCAATGTTCTCCTCCCTATACCTCTGACTAGCAAGCTCAGCCCGTCTGTAAAGATTTACCCAGGTGGAAAGTCTTCCTTTCCAAAAAGCTTTCCCTGAAAGCCTCCACAGAGCCAGGTACCACCCTAGCCTTCTGGTCTCCGCTCTATTAAAGCACTAGGCTTCTTGTAACTCCCCACTTACATATCTGTCTCCTATTCTGTCTAGGCTATGAACATCCGAAGGGGGGATTGGAAGTTCATCTTTGCATTCCTGGTGCCTGGCACATAGAAGGCAGTCAATCAGGTTACTGACTTCTAGAATTCAAATGAGCTAGCCATGGTACAGTTTCTGGCCCTGGGAGCTTAGCCACGGAGAACAGATTGTGAACTGAAGAGCTAGTGCCCAGCCAGTGGGCACTTCCTGTTGTCAGTCCTCAACTCAATAGATCAACGGCCCAGGGGACCCTAAGCAGTGACCTGCAGTCTCCGGTGGGAGCCGGACCTGGGCTCGGCGCCTTTATGACCGAGGTGAGGCTCTGTCATCCCTGTCCCTGGGCTTCCGTGTCTCCATCTGTCAATGTGGCTGTGGGTCTTAATTAGAAAGCTCTTAGAGATTCCTGAAAGGACTGTTACTGTACAGCTACACAAAGGATATTATGTCACAGAGGTACAAAAGCATGGCAAATAATGGAAACCAGGAATAATAAGGGCACTTATTCCCAGAAGCACATTGATTTAAACCACAAAAGCTCCTTGGAACACGGCTTGAGAATTGTAAAAGCCTGAGCAATCAACAACCCCTGTGGGAGGGAAGCCCATGCCAGGCAGTTGCTGGAGAGTTCATTTGGCTGTTGTAGGCAGGCCAGTTTTGTCCCTCAGGTGTTCTCACATCGGTGACATTTCCCTGCTGTAGTGAGCCCAGCCTATTTGCTGGTTTCCGGAGAGAAACAACCATTACTTCCACAACTCTTGCATAAGGGTGCAAAGAACTGGCCTTAGCACAGTTCAGCTGACTTTTCCTTCTATGTATGATGAACATGGGTCTCCAGATAATGGAAACTTCATCACCGCTTCTGCTTCCAAAATCTGCATAGCAGCAATATCATCTGGTCACACCTTGACCCAGCCATTGCTACCTCTGGTTGGCAACTTTGGACGACCACCCAGATGCAGTGTATCCGTGAAAAATAAAGCTCCCTTAAGAAACAGGTCATCCGACGTGCAAAAGTGTATTCAAGCATAGCTTTGACAGCAGAATGGGCAGAATCTACAAAGAATGACGGCTCTGATGGCAGAAAAATGTTAAACTTCTGAATGACAAAAAGCACCAAAACTCAAACTATAAGATAAAAAGAACAAATTGTAGGGAATATATTTGCAGCATTCATAATACACCAATGAGTACTATCCTGAATATATAAAGACTTTTGAAAATCATTAAGAAAAATAACAGCCACCCAATAGAAAAATGGGTTGAGGATACAGAGACTTGACAAAATAAAAATTACATATGGCTAATGAACAGCTTGTAAAAATGTAATAATGAAATAAATGTAATGAAAGAATTGAGCTTTTATTTTCTTTCTAAAGATTTATTTATTTATTTTAGAGAGAGAGAGAGCACGCATGTGCGAGCACGAGTGGGGGAAGGGGCAGAGGGAAAGAATCTTCAAGCAGACTCCCTGCTCGAGGCTTGATCTCACAACCCATGAGCTTGCGACCTAAGCCAAAAGCAAGAGCTGGATGCTTAGCCGACTGAGCCACCCAGGTGACCCAGGAAATGCAATTTTAAACAATAATATTTAATTTTTTACCTATTAGATTGGTAAAAATTGCAATTGTGAATTCACATTTAACATTACCTGGTAAAGCTAACTATAATTATATTCTATGATCCTGAAATTCCATTCCTAATCTCTCCTCCACAGCTTTTGCATCTGGGCATAAGAAGACACACATGAGAATGTTTATAACATCCTTATTTGTAATATCAAACACTGGAAGGGAACCCAAATATCCATCAATAGATGGATATGTAAGTTATGATATATTCACAAAAGAACACTATACAATGCTAACAACAAATGATTACAGCTGCATGCAGCAACACGCATGAAGTTGATTGTATAAAGTTAGTCACTCTGGGGGTGCCTGGGTGGGTCAGTCAGTACGGCATGTGACTCTTGATCTCGGGATTGTAAGTTCGAGCCCCACCATGGGTATAGAGATTACTTAAAAATAAAATCTTAAAAAAAAAAAATAGGGGCACCTGGATGACTCAGTCAGTTAAGCATCCCACCCTTAATTTGGGCTCAGGTCATGATCTCAGCGTTGTGAGATGGAGCCCCGCATCAGGCTCTGCGCTGGGCATGGAGCCTGCTTAAGATTCTCTCTCTCCCTCTCCCTCTGCCTATCTTCCACCCTCTCTCTCTTTCCTGCCCCCCCAGAAATAATAATAATAAAAAATAAAGTTAGTCACTCTGATTTCATTTATATAAATTTTGTGGTGTTCCAAGCAGAATATGGGTTCCTTTTGGAAGGACGTAGTAACTGGATGGGGGCTGAGGTGCCTTTCTGTGGTGCTAACAATGTTGTGTGTTCATTCTGAGAAAATTCATCAGGTTAAACATTCATGTTACATGTACTTTTTTGTATGCATGCTATGCTTCCCTTACAAATGTTTTTTTAAAGCAAGTCATAAAAGAATACATACACAAAGTACAAGTTCATTTATATAAAGAAAAAGCATTCAAAACTAATTCATATCTAGTTAAGGGATGCAAGTATGTGTGATAAAACCAGAGAAAAGCAAGGGACTGATACAGACTTCATTCAGGAAGATTCTTCTGAGGAGCAGGGTGGGGGCTTTAGGTGGTTGTGATGTTTTACCTCTTAAGCTAGCTGGTAAATGCAGATGTTTTATTAGTCTTTATGTCCTTCACATGTTAGAAATATCATTTTCATGTATTTAATATTTAATAGAAACAATTTTAAAACTGTTTTTAAAAGACCTTGACACCACTGCTGTTGGGAGGCAGGGCATACATTGGTACAACTCTTCTAGAGAGATGACTGTCTCTGTGTCAAACACCATGTAAAAAGTACACTTTTAAGAATTTTTCCTAAGACAATGATAGAGAGCAGAGAAATTATAAAAGAATATTTATCAAATGTGGTTTAGTATGACAAAAATTGGAAACAATATAATATTTTATCAATAGGAATTGATCAAACAAATTACACTAACTCCATAAAATAGAATACTATGTAGCTATTAAGATTGATGAGGATGATGTACATCTTTTGATGGCCATGGACATATGTTCACTCTAAATTCTTGAGTAAAAAAAAGGCAGGTTATGGAACAGTATGTTACGATCGCATATTCTTTTTTAAAAAAATATTTTATTTATTCATTTGAGAGAGAGAATGTGTGTGAGCATGAGCAGGAGGAGGGGCAGACTCCCCACTGAGCAGGGAGCCTGACATGGGGCTCCATCCCAGGACGCTGAGATCATGACCTGAGCTGAAGGCGGACACTTAACTGACTGAGCCACCCAGGTGTCCCTCTTTTTTTTTTTTTTTTAAGATTCATTTTATTTATTTTGAAGAGAGAGAGAGAGTGAGCAGTGGGAGGGGCAGAGGGGGAGAGAGAGTCCCAGGCAGATTCCACGCTGAATGCAGAGCCCAACTTGGGGTTCGATCCCACCACCCTAAGATCATGACCTGAGCTGAAACCTAGAGCTGGCTGCTTCACCGACTGAACCACCCAGGCGTCTCTGATCTCATATTCTTAAAACTACATATTTTCATGTATAGGTGCATAAGTAAGAGTCTGGGAAGTCTATCAAAATATTAATAAGGTGGGGGTGCCTGGGTGGCTCAGTTGGTTAGGCAGCCGACTCTTGATTTCGGCTCAGGTCATGATCTCTGTGTCCTGGGATCCGGCTCTGCATCAGTCTCCATGTTCAGTGTGGAGTCTGCCTGAGGATTCTCTCTCTCTCTCTCTCTCCTTCTGCCCCTCTCTCCCTCAAATAAATAAATAAATCTTTAAAAAATATTAGTAAGGTGGCTTTTTCTAAATGGTACATGTAATTACTTAAAAAAAAAAGGTTTGTTTTTTTTTTTTAAATAGGCTGCAGTACGAAAACAAATTCACCTCAGCTGCTAACTTTCCAAGATACATAAGAGGCATGGAAAAAAACTCAAGAATATATTTTCTTATCACTGAATCCTAAAACATGAATGGAACCCCCCCACCCAAAGTGCAAGGCCCGCTTACATCACGGACATATTTAGTGTAGCACATACGGGTTTGCAAAAACAGTTTTCCAGCATTCTGGGTCCATTCCCCTCTCCTCTGTCCAACCTCTTTCTGAGATTTTCCAGCAGGGAAGGCCTTTGAATGTTCAATCTTCAGCTACAACCACATTCACATGTGTGTCAACATTCCACAGCTGTTTACCAGAGCAAGGCCACCAAGAGGGCAGGAACGAGGGCACTGGCTGAGGGTCACCTGATGTGGGGTGCAGGGGAGTGGGTTTCCACACCCTGAATGCTCTGAGTCTCTGGGACTCTGGCCTTGACTCTGCGCCCTTCCCCACCTCACCAAGACCATCCCCCAGTCCTTCAGGAAAGACTTTAGGTGGCCAGTGCACTGAACCAACAGACTCTTCAGACAGGAGGCTACTCACCTGGAAGCACTCACCGAAGGACTCTAGCAATCCTTTCCTCAGGGACAAGCCATCACCCTCCACACCTACCGCCTTCGGTTCATTCTGTTCTGGTTTCTAACCTCCAGCTCATTCTTAGCTCTTTCCAGAGCATTTCCACGCTCTGTGTCCAAAGAGCTGGTTCGAAAGCTCCGAATGTCATCCTGGACTCTGGAGAGGGTCTGCTTGGGGTGTATCTGCAAATGGCAAGTCCCTGTTGCTCTCTGCACCCTTTCCTAACTGTGTATCCACTGTGGGGTTCTGGAGCTGGGGACACGGGCCGTGGGGGAGGCCTGAGGGCAGAGAAGGGCACTACATCTTGTTGTCATTGTTGTTAAAGCACACGTACTCCTCTAAGGGCTACACGCTTCCTAAATCATAACATAATGTCTCAACACAAAGACAGGTGATTAAACTTGAGTAGAGTTTTAATATTGTTTGCCCAAAATGTGCAAATTTGTTGTTTTTGTCAATACAGCCAATCAAATTAATTCAACTACAGCAACGTTCATTGAGTGCCTGAGGAGGACCAGGGATTCGTGAGGTCTGTGGGAAATACAAAGGTAAGTCCATTCTTGCCTTCCATGGGCTTCTAGAATTGCTCAAAATATGACCTAAAATACGAGCTTTTATTGTATTTTATTGTAATACCATGGAGGTGCAGAAAGCAACGGGGAGAAAACATTAACTTGCTTCCAGATTCTATATGTTTATTCCTGAGAACTACCAAGTTTCCTGGTTCTATCTCTCACTCGGGGTGTGTGTGTGTGTGTGTATGGACTTCCCCTCCCGGGGGGCCGCCATCAATGGGCCTGCCTCCCCAGACAAGCTCTTTCCTTTGTGTCTCTATATTTCAAATTCCAAATTCCTGGAAGAGAGAACCTGAGCAGGTCACAGCATAAACATGGCGGCCTGGACCCCCTAAGGGGTCTGGTGAGCATGTATGTTTGAAGGGGGTCGGGGGAGGTTGAGCTGTACCCAGAGAAGAGCAACTAAGCAGATAACCAACCCAGCGTATGTCTACAGCAATTCTGAAATGTGTACTAACCTGACTTAGAAGAGTGTCTTCAAGTCACTAAAATGTGAAAAGCAAAAGGCATGGAGGTGACCGATGATTGCCTTCATATTTTACACTGGGTTGTAAATCCCATGTTTCCCTTTCCGATGGTAAAAAGCATCATGTAAGCTCACTGCCATGTGATCGTACATTCATTCAAATGTCTAGGCACTTTTCCACATAAGGTGTGCTGCCCTTAGGTAATATATTAGGTACTATAAGGATCACATATCCAGATTCTAAGTCATTCACTTAGGAAACACTGAGTAGCAACTACATGCTATTACATGGGGGCTTTGCTTGAGGAATCCACAGTCTAGGGTAGGAACCCATGATACATAGCATCGAAGTGATAGGAGCCATAAAAAAAATTAAAATTCATCTTATCTTTTAACTCCTTGCCTGTCCTAGGGAGGTTATGCAAGGAATACCGATTTCCAAATAGACAAACTTCCTTAATTGGGACTGAGCATAGTTGGCCACTCCAGCAGCAGGCCCAGGAACAAATATTCATTGCAAGTCTATACTATGCAGAGCCTGCATTATACTTTTGGGGGCATCAGAGAAAAGGGGGGGTCTATTTCTTGCCCTTGGGGAAAAACTGAAAGTCTCCTAGAAGAGGCAGGTGCATGGACTAATGGCTCCAGAATTTCTATACAGGAAGGACTTAGGCCCCTTGTTGGTTGGAAAGGGGTGGGCTTGGGGACCCAGCTTGCTGTGTTTGCACAGAATTTACCAGAAACATCAGCTGTTCCTGACAAAATAAGAGGTGAGTATGGGGGTG